AAAAACCTTCAACATGACGACTGTGGTGCCTACAAGATGACATATAGGTGAGTAAATATACTGGCTTAAGACCAGGGATTTTTTTTTTTGCCTCCATGCAGAGTCTGTGAATCATAGATGCTGGAGAAGAATGTTTCACAGGGGCCCGTGCTCTTCTAAAAAAAAGCCTGTAATGTTCATTTTTATAAAGTGTAATTCACATAAAGTGTGCCTGCTACGTGAACACAAACACGGACAGCTTCTGAAAGCTACTCTGGGTCAGAGACTGCAGAGAACAGTTGGTGTGGGTGAACAAGACCCGGACCTCTATGGGCCTCAGTGTCCGACCAGGGGATCCAGGAGTGATCAAGTAAAGCAAGTGTTCACACAGCCTGGTTCCTACTTTATATGTGCTGAGGCTGCACCGCCATGGTCAACCCCACTGGCCTGATAGACAGATGGATGGCACGTCCTGCTCAGGAGTCCAGCTCTGTCAGGCCTCCACATCCAGTGGAATCTGAATCAAGACAGTATGTTATATGTTTCCTCAGATTACTATCAACTGACATATCACTTAAATACAGAGACCTGCATCATCTTCAGAATCCCAGTGTCAGTTGGGCTATGGCTGATCTATGATACTACTTCCTCTTAGACTTGATCACAAAAGGTAACACAACCAGAGGAGCTAAGAAAACATTTCAGACACCTACTTCTAAGTAGGTTCTGGGTTCAAACCCAGGCCAACCTGGGGGCCTTCTGTGTGGAGTCTGCATGTTCTCCCTGTGCCTGTGTGGGTTCTCTCCGGGTACTCTTACTTCTAAGTAGGTTCTGGGTTCAAACCCAGGCCAACCTGGGGGCCTTCTGTGTGGAGTCTGCATGCTCTCCCTGTGCCTGTGTGGGTTCTCTCCGGGTACTCTGGCTTCCTCCCACAGTCCAAAGACATGCAGCTTAGGTTGAATGGTGACTCTAAATTGCTCGAAGGAGTGAGTGTGTGTGGTTGTTTGTCTACGTGTCAGCCCTGTTGAGAGACTGGCGACCTGTCCAGGGTGGACCCGGCCTCTCACCCAGCGTCAGCTGGGATTGGCTCCAGTTTCCCCATGACCCTATTCAAGAACAAGAGGTATAGATAGTGGATGAATGGACGGACACCTGCTGCTGGGTCTTAACTGTTTGTATCGACTGTGTTGGAACAGATATTCTCTGAGAATCTATTGTCTCATGACAAGCAGAGATCCAATATAGTGAAAACACAGAGATAGACAGAAAGTGTTTGCAGTGATGGATCAGTTAATACCATTGTGGCCAAGAGTTTCTGTACCATCCACAAATAATTGGTTTTACAATAAAATAGTCAAATTCCTTTGAAAGAAAACCACTGGGGACAAAATAAAGTGCTTCATCATCACTTCACCACACAACTGCCCCATTATTGAAAGAGTATCAGAGACTGTTTGCTGAGAAATAGTCATACATTAAACATTTGCCAACACAAAATTTGATACAACAGAATTAAAAAAGGTAAAAGGAGCAGCATGAAAGAGAAAGCTATACAGCTTTACTATAGCAATAATAAACACAGATGGAGAACTGATAACATTTGAAAATGCAGGTCAATTTAAACTAGTTTTGAGACATGACATCAAAATAAACAGAAGCAGCAGTAGAGTCAGTTGTCTGTCAATGTCTGAAACTAGCTAAACAGCACTAGCTTTAACAGCAGCAGACTGGACTGATTTCCTGAATAAATGCAGAGCGTGTCACAGTCAGGCAGAGCACACTGAGGCCTGATGGGATCTGAGCAGCAGGAGGCCTGCAGACAAGTGAGGTCAGTGGTCAGGGACAATCTTGGCCAGTGAGTTTACAACAGCAGCCTCGCTAATAAACCCTCTGAGCTCTCTGGTCAACACTCCTTCCAGCTGACAGCATGGGCTGTAATCAGGAAATCAAACACGTCACTGATCCAGGAACCACCTCACACACTCATTTGTTCATTCATCATTCTAGTGACACAACTATGGACACATTACTACAAGGTGACACTTGTAATATGTGCACTAGTACAAAGTTTATTTAGACCTGGTACAGAGAAGACACAGTTTAGCTGTGTGAGCTAAAACAGAACAGTTCCAGCCACCGACAGTTCATCCTCACTGTCATGCAGCATGCCGCTGAGGACAACCTGTCTGTCTCACATGATGCTGTGTAGTGCTGGGATGTTGTGGCTGTACTTCATTAGGTCCTGCAATGTCTGAACAAAGCCTTGCCAGGAATTTTGTACACAACAGCTCTGTGTCTGAATGCCAATCAAAACTGCCAAATCATCCAAAACACGCCCCTTTTTACATCATCTAATAACCTATTAAAAACAAACATACCAGAAAAAGGACCACTTGTAAACAAATTAGCATGAGTATATCTACTTAAAGTGACAGAAAACACCTCTGGTAAATTTGATTTGATTTGTGAATTTCTGTTTGGCTCATGTCCCATGCACTAACATGGAGGCAGCGGGGCTTATGACCTCTACGGCCACCGGCCACCAAGGGGCGACACGTGGTGGCTTCACTTCTGGGTGCTATCCAGCTTTCACGTCGTCCACCTATATGTGCAGTTTATGGTAAAAACCACCGAAAGGGTCATACATATATAGCCACAAACAGTGTGGGGAACCACAGAAATGCTAATGTAATTAAAACATAGAACACATAATGTAAGCAATTAGCTATATGACTCTCACAAAACATTCAGATTCTGTAAATATGTTGTGTTTTGCAGTCCTGACACTGAAAGTGTCCAGAAGATGATGTAAACACAGCCATTAGCAGCTACATTAGCATCGTTTTAGCCGCTGACACTCATCTTAAACCGACCACCAGGACTATTTCGACCACTCAGAGACCTTTCTCATACCTATAGTTGTACGAGGGAAACTTCTTGCTCTCTCTCAGCATCATCCTGTATAAAGAAAGGACTCGTGATCGTGTGGACGCCGCCATTATATTGCTAACAACACTGCTCCGCGACAGTTTCACATCAGACCCCCTAATGACAAATGTCCATATAGCGCCTGTTTATAAATATTAGTTCCATATGACTTTTTATTTACTTCCATTCATAATATTACATTTAGGTTCACATATACAGATGATACTATGGTAAAAACATGCCACTGAAATTCTAAGGGAATGTTAAACAATATTTGTAGTCGACTAAGGACACAGGCACGTACCCATTCGTCAACAGCAATCTAACGCCGGAGTGTGACAGAAGGTGAGTTAGCTTAGCTGTTTTAAACTCTGCACATTAAAACACAAATTCTACGTATTCATGAATTAGCGACACTGTGAGATTATAGCGGCTGACTTCAAAACACAAACGGGCATTATGCCGGGTCACACTGCGCTTTGTTTCCCTTCAAATTGTCCTTGTGATATCTGAGCATGTTAGCTGCTACAAACACTTGCCCGAACTGCAGCCACACACTCGGTTTGTTCAGTGTTATATGTGCTCAGTTTCTCTATTTTATATCATTTTATTTTGTTTAATGTTATTTAGCAGTTTTATTTTTACAGTTTAAGTAATGACTATCAAGGCTGCAACTAATGATACGTCTTCACCTTGCTTTCAGGTCGACCAGTTCACTTTATTACTAGTCTTCTCTGATGTGAGGATTTTCTACTTTTCTCCGTCTTGTTGTCTCTGTGGACAGAATATCCAAAGTACCTTAAAATGTGGAGAATTTGAGGCATGGTGAAGTTTGAACAGTATCTTGCAGTAGTTGTCACTGACATAATGCCTTACCCTAGCCCTGCTCCTCAACCCTAACCTAAACCATCATGTCTCTCACAACACAACAACTGTCATAAGACACTACTGACTGTGTGTGTGTGTGTGTGTGTGTACAGTATGCTCTTTAGCAGTGGATGTGTGAAAGGTCAGAGACAAAGCCTGTTTGTTGATGTCCTGCTGTCTATTAAAGGTTAATGGCTGTGTGTGCGTGTGTTGCAGAGACTGTGTTTACATTGTGTGTCCATAAGTAGTCCTGTACTGTACATGTTGATGTGGACCAAAGTGTCTTTTGTGAGTAATTATAATTTTGTTCATTGTGAGAACAGTGATTGTCATGTTCTGGCAGAGTGAGCACATGTAAATGGTCTTATACTTGTATAGCACCTTTCTACGCTTTTACAGCACACTCAAAGCGCTTTCACATTATTCGGCCATTCGCACTCCCAAGCACTCACGCATTCACACACCGGTGATATCACCGGGAGCAACTGGGGCTTTAGTGTCTTGATCAAGGACACTTCGACATGTTGACTGGACAAGCTGGGAATCGAGCCGCTAATCCTCCAGTTAGGAAACGACCTGCTCTACCTCCTGAGCCACAGCCGCCCCCAGCCCATGTGTGTGCTGTGAGGAATTTTTAAAATCCCAAAGCTGAAGTTGATACGTTTTATCTAATCATCAGTGCAACAACCAAAAATATTCATTAAAACCACAAAGACCAGGAGATGTTATTGTTTGAGATGCAAAAAAACTGTTTTGCTTCAAACAGTGACTTAAACAAATAAATAGTTATCAAACCAGGATGATCACCGAGTCTTCAGGTCACCAGACCTGTTGACCTGGACCTATATTCCTATGGAGTTCCTATGGAGCTGTCATGGCTGCCCCAGATGTCTGCATTTTGTGTCTGCTTTCCTTCTGATTCAGAGATAAAATATTTTCTGTCTGGTCAACATTTCAAATCTGAGACCTCCTGACAAAAATGCAGAAACCACCTTTGGGTAAAGTTAGTTAGATGTGAAAGTCATTGTCAAGGCTTTAAACATCACAGTGCCTTTTTATTTGTGTGTGAAATAATGGAGGTTTTATCTCTGTAGAATAATTAGGCCTGCAACAAACAATCATTTTCATTGTTTATTATTATTCTGGTTATCTAGATTTTTCTGTTGCTTGTTTCATTTCCACAGCCCAAAATCCACACAGAACAAAAGCAAGCAGAATAGTGGACGAGCTAGAATTTGAAAAACTGCTTCTTACAGACTTCTGAATGACAACAGTTGGACTGTGACCTGACATAAACCCTCGTTAACATAATCTGTTCCCTAACAGGAGATGGATTGACAGGAGTAGAGATGTGTGTGTGTGTCCCTGCAGAGGAGCTGATGATGGGCAGCTCTGCAGCAGCCACTAATCGATATCAGGGGATTTCCTTCAGTCCCAGCTGACTGGACAAACTCTCCTCACTGGAGCTTTCAGTCTGAATCCTGCAGATCAACAGACACTGCCGTTAGTGTCACTGTTTATGCTCGGCTCCTAAACAGCTTTTATCCAGTGTCACAGCTGCTTTCTCACTATCAAACATTTCAGACTGAGAACAGCCCTGAAAACCAGGCAAGACATTTCTCAAGAGCTAAAGTGAAAAGCTTGTTCTGTAAGTTCCTGATATTCAAGACAAACTGAAATGAAACTGAAGTCAGCGTTCTGACTTATGTCTCAGAGCTGCGAGATGAGATCCTCCAGTTGTTTTAATTTGGTGAATGCAGTGTGCTTCCCTCGTTGACCCACTAAACACACTTAGTAAAGGTTAAAGACAGTCTTTGAAGTTTGTACTGAAGGGAGCTTATTTTACCAGAATTCATTACAAATTAAATAAATTTTGATAATGTAAAGGACTTTCTGCAGATTTTTACTCACCTTGTATGGCAATGTTTAATATTTTCATAGTTTGAAAAGTCATGTTGAGTCGGTTCTGTGGGCTTTCAGAACATGGTTACATACATCCCTGGGTAACGGGAGCAGTAGTACCCGAGTGTTGGAGAAACTCCACACTGTGTTGACATGAGTTTGTTTGATGGTGTCTTTAGTTCTTCCTGAATGTGAATCACTGCTGTGAGCTGCAGATTGAGTTCTCTGTCTCTTTCTACCCGGTGAATCAAGGCCCTGATGTTTCTGCCATCGATCGCTTCCTCCTGTGTTCAGACCTGCAGAAGAATACAACTAGGAGGTTTCATCCCACGGCCCAGCCTGTTTGCTTCAGGTCCATCCATCCTCTCTGCTCCAGTCCTCCACCTTGTGTCTGTCTCTGGATCAGCACACTCTTCTGCATTGTTAGTTCCACAGACTGAAGTAGGTGGACAGCTGTGTGTGTGTGTGTGTGTGTGTGTGTGTGTGTGTGCATCTGAATGAGTGTGAAGTACTACCACTGTACTACTTCAGTATGTTTGTTCTTGTGAAGTTTTGCTGTATTGAACGTCACATTGGTTCAAAGATTTTATTGTCAATTCACCATATTTACAGGACATACAGAAAATCGAAATACTGTTTCTCTCTCACCTAGTATTGGGTGCCATAACATTTAGGAACTAAAATAGAATAGAATAGGATAAGAACTGGATTAACATAATTAGGATAAATCTAAACGGTACAGCCAATAAGCTGTGATTCAAAACTGTGTATAGCAGTGACAGTAGTGCAAACAATAATAGGAGATTGTCAGATGGTCCAGCATCACCAAGGCATCGGTGATGAGGTGCAAATAGCATATGAGGTATACACGGACAGTATTGCAAATGACCAACAGAAGCAGATATTCCAGCAAAAAAAAAAAAAAAAATCAGTCAGCAGCAGATTTACATACTATATAATAATAACCAAGGGTAAAACAGCAGAGGTAGTTTTTTTATTTTTTACCTGTAATATAACAAAAAGGGGGAATGTATTGAGTTTGTGCAAACAGCAGGGGTAGTCTTTTTATATTTTTTTATGTTCTGTGGTGGGTTACAGTCCACAGGCAGAGGGGGGGAGGTAGTGAACAATGTTCAGCATCCTCACAGCCTGGTAGATGAAGCTGTTTGTAAGTCTGGTGGAGTGGGCCTGAAGACTCCGATACCTTTTCCCTGAAGGAAGGAGTCTGAAGTGGGAGTGTGCGGGGTGGGAGGTGTCATCAGCAATGCTGATGGCTCTATGGGTGAGGCGGGTGTTGAAGATGTCTATAAGGGAAGGCAGAGGGCCACTGTTTTCACTATGCGTTGCAGGGTTCTTTTGCAGGAGACAGTATAGCCTCCATACCACACAGTGATGCAACCAGTGATGACATTGATCCCTGTTCTGCCCTCTGCTTCCTTCTACCAGCATTTTTTCCCCTTAGTGTGCTTTGTGCGTGTGCTGAATTTTAGGGGGGGCAGCATGGTTTAAGGTTAGTGTGAGGTTAGGGTCAGGGTTGAGGTTAGGCAAGTACTGTGGGATAAGTCTACAGGAAATGAATGTAAGTCAGTGTACAGTCCCCACAAGAAATGAAAGCACAGCGTGTGTGGGTGTATGTGTACATACACATCAACAGAGTTCATAACCAACATATGTGTTTTCTCTGAGATGATTGCACGTTAATATCACCCTAGACAACACATTATTTGATGGACAGGAAGTCTCATTTAATTGGCATAAAAATGTAAATCTGCTCAGAATGAGGCAGTACTTTGGTGGAGCAGCTCTGAGTCAGAGGCCACAGCAACTGGACAGAAGGCAACATCTGTGCCAATGAGTCTCTGTGCTTATGGAGGCAACGTTCAAGTCCTGTAGACAGTTAGTGTCACACAGGGCTGTAGAAAAATATCCGTGGTGTGAAGGCCGCAAAGGTCTCCCAGGTTTATGGAGTGGGGTGGGGTTTGCATTGATAAAGTGCAGGTTATAATTGTGCGGGGACATGAGTATCTGAAACCTCAGACTGGACAGGTCACATTTAAAGACTGGTTCCACTGACCTACACAGATTTTTTTAGTCCTTGACATTTGGACTGTACACGGTTCAGTCAGGCTGAGGGCAGCTGCCGATTCAGCTGCTAATTGTCTATTATGGGCAACTTTATGAATTTAATGCCGTTCCCACACAGCAAACCTGGGCTCAGGTGCACTGCAGTGTCAGGAGGGAGTGCTCATCACTGAGAATGGGATGAACAGGATCTAATAGGGGCCTAGGGGCTCCTCTGTGTCCCGGGGCCTCCTGGCATGTTCATCAGGCTCTGCACTAGACGCAGTCATCTCCACCAATCAGAAGTGAAGTTGGGGTGTAACGACATCTACCAGTCAGGTGGAAGTAATGACGAACCAAATTAGCTCAGCAGTGCATCATCTTTTACAGCCTGGTTCTGAATTCATTAGTGCTTAATTTGGATAATAAAACACTAAGACCAAACTGGGATTAAATTTGTGTTTCAGAACTGAACGTGTCACAGCCGAGGTGATTAACCGGGTAATGGCTGCTTTCAGCTGCATCACATTTGCATTAGTGCGTGTCATGTCTTGGCTTCCTCCCTTGTCTGGCTGCTTCAGGCGCACTATCCAAACTGATCAGTCGCTGAGCATCTGAGAGTGAACAGCATTGACGAGGCAGCTTTCTACAGCGGTGTCACCCAGATGAAGTGGAGACAAGTGTGGTTTGGTCCAGCATGTAGTAATATGTTCAGGCTATTCAAGAAGAGAGAAGAGATTTTAAAAAGAGGCAAATCCAATTAACTCTGGATGTCGATTCAATGCCATCTGCAGCACAGTCACACCCTTCAGCAGCAGGTGTGCCATGTGGTCCTAACATAACCACACTCAGCCAGGTTTGCTTTGGGACTCACAGAGGACAGCGCTGCCTTCTGTCCATTCTGTGTCAGGGTGATATAGTCTGCCATTCATGTGGATGTCAGGTTTCTCCAAGTGACGTTTTCCAGGAGGCTGACTTTCTTAGTCACCCTCCAACCTTTGCTGGTGGGTGGTAAATGAGGTCGGACCCCTGGTGCTCGGACCTTGTTAATGAGCGAGTGTGACAGGTGTGTCGTGGGTTGGCTGCGGGTGCTCTGGTTTCACTAGGCCGGACCAAGATGAATGACGTGTTTTTAGTTGTACTCCATCAGACTAGAGGAATATTTAATCATTCTTCTGAGAGAACTGGTCTCTAGCAGCTGCAGCATAGGCTCAGGCTCACTGCCTTTTATGAATGAATGTGAGGGTGCAGTCAAGTGTGTGATTTGTGTACAATGTCTTGTATAACCATCTCATTATGGAACTTGTTTTCAGGCTTTTTATCCTGAAAATCCAAGTCCTGCTCTGTGTGTCCTGTGTCCGAGCTGTGCTCCCTAACACCATAAGGATTTCTGACTTGCACAGCACGTTGACCGAAGGTCCTGGTGTAAATGTCTGCAGAGATGAGACACTGGATAGTCCAAACGTGCCAGTGGCATTTGCAGTTCTGTACAATCAGTAGAATTTGTCCCAGTAACAACAATATTTTTAATATGCCAGGTTGTAATTGCTGTGTCTTAGGGCGACTAACTAGCCCTGCTAAACACAGCGGTGGAACACATGTACATTTACTGAAGCACAAATCTGAGGTACTTGTACTTTGCTTGAGCAGCTCCATTTTATGCAGCTTTTTTTTTTCTCAATTTACTTTTTTATTGAAAAAGCACGCTGCATAATAAGTATAATCTGCAATGTATTACCATATAATACTTTTGCTTTTTTCCTTTTTTTTTTAAAAAAAAAACAGAAAAACAACAACAAACAAAGAACATGACCGGGGCAGGGGAACCTCTTCTCTATTGGTACCTCACTGTGTATAGATAGTCACTACTACATAGGCACCCAGCGGTTTTACACAAAGTCAGGCCTTACAGGTTTCACATATTCCATCCATTTCGACCATATCTGGTAAAATGTGTCTTTCTGCAGTCTGAGTGAAATGGACATTTTTTTCCATTATATAAATCTCTTATATGATGTCCATCCAGTCATCGGTTGTTGGTTGTTCAGGTTTGATCCATCTTCATGTGACAGCTTTTTTGCTCACGGGCAGCAGAATATACAGGTGCATCTCAATAAATTAGAATATCGTGGAAAAGTCCATTTATTTCAGTAATTCAACTCAAATAGTGCAACTTGTGTATTATATAAATTCAGTACACATAGACTGAAGTAGTTTAAGCCATTGGGTCTTTTAATTGTGATGATTTTGGCCCACATTTAAC